CCCCAAAACCCCAAAACCCCAAAACCCCAAAACCCCACGTATAAACTTCTATTAAATTTTATTGAAGGAAAAAATCTGTTTTCAATAAAATAGCTAATTAAAGTATTCCTAAATTTATATTACTAAATATTAACAGGTATAAAATTTTAATTTTGAAGTAATATGGAAGAAATAGATTAGAAGGCATATGAAAATGTTGTAAGGTTTATTACTAGAGAGCCTATGAGAATGACTACTGCTACTCCAGGCAGTAAATCTGATTCAAAGTCTAAATATAAAACTCTCAACTCCTTTTACACTAATAATAATAATAACAAAACTGCTTTTGATAACTCTGTTGAATAATAAGAAATAAATAATCAGTCATTCTAACTATAACGATTCAGCAATAAGAAAAAATGGATAGAGTCATCTTAGAAAAACAAATAAATATTGAGGTAGTAAATTGAAAACAGTGGTAATCCTAAGTCGAGAAATGAGCTCACAAACAGCATAATCTTAAATGCTTAAAAATTCAAGAGTATGAGGCCTATGACTTCTGATAATACAAACAGAAGGAATAACATAAGTAGCAGAAATCCTTTTGCTATTGGGTCATCAACGGCTTTTAAGAAAAATATGAATACCAAAATTATAGTAGGTGGGGGCTTAGGTGATTAAACTGCCTAATCTACATCACTCAGTTCAAATCCATTTAAACTAACCTCAAAAGAATAAAAGAGTTACTCTAAATTCCCTTAGAGCAATGTGTCGACTAACTTTACCCGTGCTTAAACTGCTTAGAAAAGTTAAAGATTACAAAATCTATCCACTCAAAATAACCTTAGTGTTTCTTTAAATCAATAGCACTAGCTAAATATTAGCATTGATAGAACAAACAATCAAAGCAATGATAGAGTAAATCCCTAGTAAATGTACTATGGAGACATTTTAATTACACCAGATGCTGGCATAATTGTTGACAGACAAGAGATTATAGGTATTTTGCAAAAAAAAGCTATAACTAACTAAATTAGGTCCAAGTCAATCAGCTAAAATTCATAAAGCCATGCAGCAACCACACCGCTAAATATGAAACGAAAAGCAAAATAGCAGATTTAGAAATTCGAGAATGTATAGGAATACGCAGATAAAAATTAGTAGGATAATTTTGAATCATATGAGTAAGTTAAGCAATATTATGAGTAGAAGATAGAAGGATAGCTGAAGCAAGACAAAAGCTCAGATTAGATTCGAGAATAACTGCAGTAAACACTTAGTCGCCCTATAAGTACTTAACTATCACTTAAGTAAAGGATGTCGAGAAAAGGTAAGACATTGCCTTTCACAGAGCTACCTTTTGAAAAAGTGATAGATTAAATGAGATAGAGGGATTGCTTACAAAACATTAGGCGAATAAAAGAAGAACTTAGGTAGATTAAAGTATAGACTGGAGCATCTAACATCACAATATCTCACAGTCAACTAAATAAGCAAAGGTTTGATATGGCCTCTTGACTAAGTGTTTAAAACCCATTAGCTACAAAGCATAGACTCCTCAACACTTACGTTCATAACTATAAAGATAAGCTGTGTCTTACAAACGAAGAAACTACACAAAACAAAGGATTAAGAAATAGTGTAAGTAAGAAAAGGAAGGATGAAGATTTTAGTTTAGCTGTAGACTTTAATGAATTGAAACAGCTCAAATAGGCAACTGAAGAAGCAGGCTTCGATCCATACACTTAATATCTAAAGATCAAGCGGGATCTTAAACATCAGCAGCGCTGCAATATATAACCATTGATTGACAATGGTAGAAATCAAAGTCCAGATTAATATGATCCTGACGAATTAATGCACTAATCGAATAAGTTCAAAATAGATGATTCAGAAAATCTTATAAATAATGAGGCAATTGCTAAAAAACTAAGGAATATTGATGAAGAATAGTAAATTAAAAGGCTTTTGACATAGAATTAAGAAGACATTTAAAAGCATAACCATAAATAAAGAAGATAAATTAAGAATAAGAGGGTTTTTGAAAAGGAAAGTTTGGAGAATTTGCAGAAAGTATTTTATGAATAAAACCATCGAACATAATCAGTTTCATAGAATGGGAATCATCTTAGGAAAACTAGTCAAAACAAATCTGAAAATTAATTCAACTAAAGTAATATTTGATTATATTCTTTGACTTATTCTAATATTTTCTATAGCTTTTGACAATCTGAAGGATATTTGGGTTAATCTAAGAAACTATAAATCTACATCTAAGTAGATAGAGAATAAGTATCGTAAAAAGATTAATAGCTGTAAAAGAAACTTTAATAAAATGGACTGCCAAGCAAATGAGGCTTCTAGGCAGATTAAAAAGGAGTAAGAGATGATTTAAATTGAAAAGGAGCAGTTAGAAGCTAAGTAAATGTTTGAATAGATGTAGAGACTTGACAATGAAAGAAAATAAGACAAATATAAAAGACTTAAAAGTGTGTGGTGATAATACTCATGAAATAAGATAAAGATGTTTAAGTCTCTCAACAAATGTATGAATTTTACTGCGAAAAGTACCTCATGTATAATAAAGATATAAATTTAAATATGAACTTTTCATTTAATTTCATAAGATTTGCTTTTAATTTTGAAAAAATAAAATGCGGGGTTTTGGGGTTTTGGGG